CCCTGGAGTGTCTACTTTCACAAATGGTAGGCCTTCATGGGCTTCTTTAAATGGTCAAACTGCTATAATGCCCCAAAATGAGATATAGGCCCATCAAATCCATCTATGAGAATTCTAACTGTAGAAACATAAATAGCCAGATCTCGTATACGACACTGTAACTTCATGACACAGTGGCAAAGGCATACATTGGGGGTATTGTTTTACTCATAAGATTTAGCTGAACACAAGGTGGGGCTTTGTACAGGAATAGAACACATCAGGTTTACAAAATAAACATTAAAAAAACCTTGTTATATGTGTGTATATTAAAATCTGAAAAAACACAATTTTACTATAATATTTAGCAGAGATTGGCGGTTAAATGGCTATGTAAAAAGTGTCAAAAATGATAATGGTAAATAGCCCAATATGTCTACTATATATAAATATATACTTTTGTGTGGCAATTTTGTTTTCCGTGAAGACTATTAAGCTTACAATACAAACATATCAAATTCTAAAATTGTTCCACATTGAAATTTTATTTTACACATTGTAGTATGTGACCTGTAACTACCAAAAATATACTGAAATCGCAGACATATTATGTACTCTGTAAATCTTTTCTCATCCTGCACCCCTTACTGTAACACTTTTTTACACCGCCCCCCTACTGTAACCCTTTCTCACTCTGCAGCCTTCTACAGTAACCCTTTCTCACCCTGCCCCTATTGTAACCTTTTCTCACTCTGCCCCCTCTGTAACCCTTTCTCACGCTACACCCCCTACTGTAACCCTTTTTTGCCCTGCCCCACACTTTATCCCTTTCTCACCCTGAACCCCCTACTGTAACCCTCTGACACTGCCCCTGCTGTAACCCTTTCTCACCCTGCCTCCCCTCTGTAAACCATTTGTCACCCTGCTCCCCACTTTAACCCTTTCCCACCCTTCCCACCCACTGTAGCCTTTCCAAGGATGCCCCCCCACTGTAGCCCTTTCTCATCCTTGTCCGGTCACAACTGTAACCCATTCTCCCCCTACCCACCCACTATTATCCTTTCTCAAACTGCCCCCCACACTGTCACCCTTTCTCACACTGCCCCCACACTGTCATCAACACACACACTCTCTCCCACATTGTCACCCTTACCTCCCTCCCACTGTGTCGTCCTAACCTCTCACCTCCTACCCTGTTACCCTCACCCCACACTGTCACCTCATCTCCCCCCACACTGTCACCTTATCTCCCCCCACACTGTCACCCTCATCTCCTGTCTCAGTGTGTCTGCGTATTTGAATGAGTGTCAGTGTATCAGTGTGTCTGCGTATTTGCATGAGTGTCAGTGTGTATCTGTGTGTGTGTATGTGTTTCATTGTGTGTGGAAGTGTAAGCACACCTACATTCACACACATACTCCATACAAAGACATGCTTACATTCAAACACACATTGTGTATATGCATATATTTTTATATACACAGTATACACACACTGCGTTCCACTACACATGCACTGCAACCCAGTGGCGGATCCAGAGCCTGATCTCGGGAGGGGCACTTGTAGATTATTTAAAGAAATAATCCAGACACAATAACAACTACAGCTCAGTGTAGTGGTTATGGTGTCAATAGTGCCGGAACCCCCTCCCAGAGTAAGTAGTCAAACCATTTAAGAACAGTTTGACAACCTACCTGAGGTCTGCTGGGAAATGGGGCAGTAGTAGGGCATAGGAGCAGTGGTGTGTGTGAGTGGTGCAGTGTGTGTGTGTGTGAGGGGGACAGTGTGTGCGCAGTGTGTATGTGAGGGCGGCAGTGTATGTGTGGGACAGTATGTGTGTGTAACAGTTGCAGTGTGTGTTTGAGTATTGCAGTGTATGGGGCGGCAGTGTGTGTGTAGAGTGTGTGTATGGGGGGCAGTGTGTGTAGGGGGGCAGTGTGTGTGTATGGGGCAGTGTATGTGTGTAAAGTGTGTGTATGAGAACAGGGCTTGTGATGTGTGTATGGGGGACAGTGTGTGTATCGGTGTTGGTGTATGTGTGTGGGGGTGTGTGTGTATGGGGGCTGGTGTGTGTGGCACTGGAGGGGCAGTGTGTGGGTGTGGGGGGACGGTATGGGGGCAAGTATGTGTGTATGGGGGGCTTGGTGTGTGTATGGGGGGTGTGTGGGGCAATGTGTGGATGTATGGGGGGGCAGGTATGTAGATTGTATGGGGGCAATGTGTGTATATGGGGCAGTATGGGTGTCAGTATGGGTGTGGGACAGTATGGGGGCAATATGTGTGTATGGGGGAGACGAGTATGGGTGTATGGGGAGACGATATATGTGTATGGGGGCAATGTGTGTATGGGGCAGTGCTTGGGGGCAATGTGTGTGTGTGTATGGGGCAATGTGTGTGTGTATGGGGCAGTATGTGTGTATGGGGCAGTGTGTGTGCATGTGACAGTATATGGGTGTATGGGGGGGGACGGTATGTGTATGGGGTGAAATGTGTGTGTATAGGGGCTGTATGTGGGTGTATGGGGGGCGGTATGGAGACAATGTCTATGGGGCAATATGGGGGCAATGTGTGTAAAGGGGCAGTATGGGTGTATGGGGGACGGTATGGGGAGACAATGTGTGTATGGAGACTTGGTATGGGTGTATGGGGGGCAGTATGGGGGCAATGTGTGTATGGGGGGCAGTGTGTGTATGGGGGGCAGTGCCTTATGTGTATGTGGGGCAGTATGGGGCAATGTGTGTATGGGGGGCAATGTGTGTATAGGGGGGCAGTGTGTGTATGGGGGGGCAGTATGGGGATCAGTGTATGTGTGTAGAGTGTGTGTGTGATAAGGGTAGGGGGGCTTTTTAAAAAAAAAATATATTTTTTTTATTTAGTTTAATAAAAATAATCATTATGTCCCCCCCTCCCTTCTTACCTTTACTGGGGAGGAGGGGGGACATTTCCCTGGTGGTCCGGTGGGGGATTCCCTGGTGGTCCCAGTGGTGATGAGAGTGAACTCTAGCCCGCGCTCCCGGGCTAGAGTTCACTCTCGCGAGATTTGGAGCGTTGCCGTGGTAACCGCGGCAACGCTCCAAATCTCACGAGAGGAGGACCCGGAGGAGCTGCAGACTGAGCTCCGGGTCCTCTCTCTCCCTCCCTCCCTCCGCCGCCGGCTGCCAGCACGGTGCCTGCGGACCGGGGAGGGAGAGCTCTGATCTTCCCCCCGGTCTGCAGGCACATTGCAGGGCTAGCACCTGCATGTGCTGGCAGGAGAGGGAGACAGGCGGATTTCTCGGGGGGGGGCAATTGCCCCGTTGCCCCCCCCCTGGATCCGTACAAACACACCCCTGTATAAAAACATTACAATTATATACAAACACCCCTTCATTCAAGCACCAACACGGGCAAATGGTGGATCCACAGTTGGCTTAGCTTTGTTGGAGTTCTCCCAGACAGATGGAGATCTACATTTTACACTAGAGGTGTGTCCAGAAAACATACTTGCACTATGGCCCTCTTTACATTCTTTCTACCACTGGGATACTCAATGTGAGGTGCCTGGATGAAAGAGCAGAACACAGTGCTTCTGATTCTGCCTGAGTCTGTGAGTAACTAGTTGTATGCATCTAAAACTGATTGCCATGATGTGCCAAGTTTATGCTTCTAAACTGCCATGATATGCCAACATTATGCCACAAACTTCTGTGATATCCCAAAATGCCATCTCTAAAGCTGCCAAGTTTTTGCCTCTTAAACTACTATGATATACCAAACATGTGCCTCTAATTCTGCTGTGTTTATGCATCTAAAATTGATTGCTATGGTGTGACAATTGTATGCCTCTAAAACTGATTGCTATGGTATACTAATTTTATGCATCTAAAGCTGATTGCCATGGTGTGCCAATTGTATGCACTTAAAGCTGCCATGATGTGCCAGATTTATGCATCTAAAACGGATTGCCATCATGTACCAAGTTTATGCATCTAAAACAGATTTCCATGATGTGCCAATTTAATGCATCTAAAACTGACTGCCATGGTGTGCCAATTTTATGCCTCTAAAACTGATTGCCATGATGTGCCAAGTTTATTCATATTTGAAATATGTATTAACAGAGAGTGGGTCTCCAAAAAATACTGTTTTTAAAAGTGGAGCTTTTAAATGGCAGAAAGCAATTTATAAGGTCTATTCCTATCATTCAGTAGGTGAAAATTGATTACTTTTTTATGCATTTGTTTTTATTTCTGCTTTTTCTATTTTATTTTTAGATTATTTTACTTGAAGTGTTAAACATTTTTTAAACATAACATGACATAAATTCTTAAAGCATATATGGTAAAATAACAAAGGGGAAACATAACATGGGAAAAACAAAGGGGAAAGGGTTATATAAATCTAAATTGTACACAACCATGACCAATTATTATAGCAAACATTTCAACATGCGAACTATTTATAACTATATAAAAAATAAATTTTGATTATTTTTATCTTTTTTAAGTGTCTGATGCTTGTCCTAACTGTTCAAAAATAGGGTATGACGGCAGGGCCGGACTGGGAATAAAAAGCAGCCCTGGAATTTTTTTACACCAGCCCTAACATTAAAGGACCACTATAGTGCCAGGAAAACATACTCATTTTCTAGAAAAGTTAGGAGCCAGAGAAATCAACGTCAAAAATAAAATTCTTAAAGGGACACTATAATCACCAGAACCACTACAGCTTAATGTAGTTGCTCTGAAGTCTATATCCTGACCCTGAACGCTTTTAAATGTAAACACTGACTTTTCAGACAAAAAGCAGTGTTTACATTGCTGCCTGGTGACACCTCTAGCGACAGTCACTCAGACGGCCTCTAGAGGTGCTTCCTGGGTCAGTGCTTCACACTGTGCAGCCTGAGCATTAATGTTCCCTATACAGATGCATTGATTCAATGCATCTCTATGAGAAGGTAAATTGGCGCAGTGGCATTTTGCCGTGCATGCACAATAGTCTCCCAATGCTTTGCTAGGAGGAAGCATTGGATTGGCTGAGATCGTCAAGATTGAGGATTTCAGCCATGGAGGTGGGGCCAGCCACAGCATGGAAAAAAGGTGAGTACAAAAAAACAACCCAAAACCCTTTCCCATGTGATTGGAGGGAACACACACACTTACTGAGCAACTCAGACTCACTCACAGACAGACACAGAGACAGACATTCAGACCAACACTCCGACAGACACACACTCACAGACATACTCACACACACTCAGACAGACACACACACTCACTCACTCACAAGTAATTACTCTTTTATTCAAATTTACCTTTATAGAGCTGGAGAGAATATGCTTTCCCTGGGGTCCAGTAGCACTGCTGTCATCTCCCTACTCTGCTCCCTCTCACGCACTGTTTAGTGAGCCGAGGGCCAGAGTGACATCATAACCCAGCTCCGTGAATCACTGCAAGCTGCGCAAGGGAGCAGAGCAGGGAGATTACAGCTCCTTCGCTGTGGCACTAAGTAAGCCGCCCGCCTCCCTCTGCTCTGCATTACCTGGCTGCTCCCCTCCGTCAGCTGCCCACCTTTTCTACCACAGCTCTCCATGGGCCGGCCACCCATCTCCCTCCCAATGCAATAAATGAGCTGGCCGCCCCCAGCAGCCTGCCTGCCTCAGTCCTCAGTGATCCCAATGCCTGCCTCTGCTCTCAGGCAGCCGATCACCGTGGGGGCTGAACATATATATATTTTGATATAATACACATATATTAATATACATTTGTTCAAATATATAGATGCATAATACTCCCACAAATCACCAAATCACATAGATAAAGCAAAACTATATAAAATTATATATTTTTTTAGATTCAATTTATTTTAAATTTGAAAAAAAAACATAGACAGACACATGGATTTTTAATTAATAAATACTCACTGGCACACACAGGCGTGTAGTCACTGATGCCCATACATACTGACATGTACTCATCAACAGACACTGGCACGCAAACTAATGCTGCATCCCATACAAACACTGGCACACAATCACTAATGCATACACACTCCCTGACATACACACACATTGATCCACAGTGACACATCGATCCATACTGACACACACACACACACACACACACTGATCCACACTGACACATTGATCCACACTGACACACACACACACACACACATTGATCCATACTGACACACACACACATTGATCCATACTGACACATTGATCCCTACTGACACACACACATTGATCCATACTGACACATTGATCCATACTGACACACACATATTGATCCATACTGACACACACACACATTGATCCATACTGACACACACACTGATCCATACTGACACACACACACATTGATCCATACTGACACACACACACACACACACACATTGATCCATACTGACACACACACACACATTGATCCATACTGACACACACACACACACACACACACATTGATCCATACTGACACAGTGATCCATACTGACACACACACACATTGATCCATACTGACACACACTACAAAAATACACACCAAACACTCTACACCCTCAAATATAAACACAGTACAATTAACATGAAATGCCTGGGTGCCTCTGCTCACTGAGCCCTACTCTGCCTGATTGCCGGGTCACATGCTTCCTGGGTGTGAAGGCTGTCAGGCAGGGACAGAGACTGCCACCCTCCCTGCATTTAATCCAGGCTCCTGCCGGCTGTCTGCTCTCTATGTCTCACTCGCGAGCAGCATTGAAAGTTCTATTTCCAGCACCTGCTGCTCGCGAGTGGATAAAGGAAAGCCTCTTCAAGAGGTAAGAGGAGACCTGTGCTCCCCAGTACCCCCAATGTGTGTATGTGTACTGGGTGGGGAGAGGAAGGGCTGCTGCACTGTCCCCAAGTGCCACAGCCCACCGGGTGGGCCAGTCCGGCCCTGTATGACGGTCTAATCAGTGGTGTATCCTGGTTTTGTGCTGCCCTAGGCAGGACAAAACTCAGGCGCCCCCCTCCCCCCCGCACCACCACCACCCAACCCTTCCCCCCGCCCCACCTTCTAAATACACACACACACAGTCAGACACATACACAAACACACACACACAGTCAGACACATACACAAACACACACACACACAGTCAGACACATACACAGTCAGACACAAACACACACACACAGTCAGACACAAACACACACACACACAGTCAGACACATACACAAACACACACACACAGTCAGACACAAACACACACACACACAGTCACATACACAAACACACACACACACAGTCAGACACATACACAGACACAAACAGTCAGACACAAACACACACACAAACACACACACACAGTCAGACACACAGTCAGACACAAACACACACACACAATCACATACACACACACAGTCAGACACATACACAGACACAAACACAGTCAGACACAAACACACACACACACAGTCAGACACATACACAGACACAAACACACACACACACACTCACAAACACACACACAGTCAGACACAAACACACACACACACACAAACACACACACATTAACTTTTTGTTTAATTTAAATCCCCCCCCAACCTCCTTACCTTTGGGTCTCCCTGGTGGTCCAGTGGTCCAGTGGCTGCAGGGCGGGCGGCCGGCGAGGGAGCACTTCCCATGAGCTGACTGCTCAGCTCATAGGAAGTGCTCCCTCGCCGGCCGCCCGCCCGCCCGGGATGTCAGTTAGCCGCAAGGCTAACAAGGCATCTGCCCTGGGCATTTGGGGGGCGGCGTTTTTTGCCGCCCCCTGAAAAATGCCGCCCAAGGCAAATGCCTTGTTTGCCTCGCAGCTAATACGTCCATGGGTCTAATGGTTCGTTTGTAACACTTGTATATGACCATATAAATTATTTCTACTTTAGAATTTACATGAGCAAATATTTGTTTGATGCAAAAAGAACCTCCTGTCATAATGCTTCTGATCTCTCCAATATTCTTTTCTTTCCATTGATCTAGATTTATATTTTCTATAAGGGATTCTAAAATCTCTATCTCCATGAAGTCATATATCTTGCCCCTATGATTCATTTGCTTTCTCAGTTTAAACCATGTCGGAAGAGTTTGGCAAATTATTTTATTTTGAATTTCTTTGGGGCTGAAAAAAGAAGATTTTAGAAGAAAAGAAAACATTGAATGGTAAGTTTATTTTTATTTTTACAGGTATTTAGTTAAAGATCCCCCCCTCATTATTTTTAGGGTGAGGGGGGTAGGTAGGAGGTTTTTTTTTATGGGGAGGGGGTGACTAGGGTTTGAGGACCCATAGTCACCTGGGTGAGAGAGGGTTAAATTTGTATTTAGGGCCCCCACCCGCCGCTCAGGGGACATTAGGTCCCCCCAATTTGTATTTAGGGCCCTTTTTTTTTTTTACTTAATACTTAATTTTTACTAAGTATTAGTAAATTTGGCTGAAAGACCAATTTAGGTCTTTCAGCCTTTTGGTAGATAACTCCCTAATACCATGGGAATTAGGAAGTTATCTACCAAGTGGCTGCAAGAAAAGTCCCGAAATGCCGGAGTTCCAAAGTGCCATAGTGCAGAATTGACGAAGTCCCGAATTTCGGAAAGCCGAACCGAGCCGAATATTTTCCCCATGCACATGCCTACAGTTTTAAGACATTCTTTTCAACAATGGTGTTTAAGCTGTCTGACAGTATAAATTATTTCTACTTTAGATGGACTTGTTTCTTGTTTTCCAATGCCTCCATAGAACTGAAGTTGCTGCAATCAAGATATGTAAACTGAAAATGTCATCTGACTTATTAAATCCTTTAGGTAGAAGTTTAAATAGGCCTAGTGTGGGATTCCATGTAGTCATGAAGGAAGCTATAAGTTGAGTCAATCTTTCTTGAAACTTTTGAATTTAGGGCAATCCCACCAAATATGGGTCATAGTACCTATTCGTCTACAGCAGTGTTTCCCAATTGGTGTTCCGCAGAACACAAATGGGGTTCCACCAAAATTTCTAAAAACAAAATGGCTGCGGGCGGCAAGGGAGCAGTGGGCAGTGATCTCCCTGCTCAGCTCCCTTGCGCGCACAGCAGTGATGCCAGAGCCAGAATATGACGTCACTACGGCTCCGGCATCACTGAGGTGCATGAGGGAACTGAACTAGGAGATCATTGGACCCCAGGTACCGCAAGCCAGTCGCTCAGCAGCCCCACTGGACCCCACTGACCACATGCCAGCCGTTCAGCAGCCCCACTGGACCCCAGGGACCGCACGCCAGCCACACAGCAGCCCCACTGGACACCAGGGACCGCACACTCAGCCCAGCAGCCCCACTGGACCCCAGGGACTGCATGGTCCTCCCAGCAGCCCAACTGGACCACAGGGACATAGACTCAATGCCAGCACTCCCAAAAGGTAGGGAGGCTGGATGGAGTAGAATTTTATTTAAATAATACATTGTATGTGTGTCTGATAGGGAGTTTATATGTGTGTTTGTTAGTGAGAGTGTATGTGTGTCTGTCAAAGAGTATGTGTGTTTGTCAGTGTGTATCTGTGTCAAGGTGTGTATGTGCCGGTGTATATCAGTGTGTTTGTATGTGCCAGTGTATATCAGTGTGTGTGTGTGTCTATGTGTGTATCTGTGGGTGCAAGTGTGTGTATATGTCACTGTGTATCTGAGTGTGCATTTGTGAGTCAAGATGTGTGCATGCATCACTGTGTGCATCTGATTGATTGATTGTGTGTGTGTGTGTGTGTATGTGTATCTGTGTTAATGTGTGTGTCTGTGTGTCACTATGTTCAGTGTGTATCCATGTGTCAGATACATATACACACACACACACACACACACAGATACACATTGACACAGAGATACACACACCGGCACATACAAACACAGATGCACACACCTTGACACACAGATACACACTGTGTGTATCTGTGTCAGTGTGCGTATCTGTGTGCCACTATGTGCCAGTGTGTATCTGTGTCAGACTCATACACACTGGCACATACAAACACAGACACACACCTTGATACAGACACATACACACTTTGACACATAGATACACAGATAGATAGATATATACATACATACACACACACACACTGTGTGTCAAGGTGTGTATATGTGTCAGTGTGTCAGGATTTCTGAAGATGCCCAACACGCAGAAGTAGATATAAAGCAAATACCTAAAATGTATTGCCGGACCTTAGAATGGCCGGATTTAACTTAAAAAGGCAAAAGACACAACATAGGGAAAAGCTAAGACAAAGGTATAACGCAAATGATAAACTATTCTGATATCTCAAGAAATGGAGATATCAGAATAGTCAGGAGTCAAGCCAAAAGTCAAGGAATACAGAGATCGCATAGTCAATAAGGGAAACCAAGGTCAGATACACAAGAAATCAATACAAAGAACACGCTCTCGGATAACCAACTGGAAACCATGACAGGGCACAGAGAAATGGACAAACTAGATTTAAATAGCTAAAGGTGTTTCCTGATAGGCTGTAGGGAATCATGTGATCAAGTTTATGTGTGTTAAACACCCATATTAAATTAATTGATCTGGCCCTTTAAGGGTTAAACAGAAAACCCTTTATTATTCACAGCAGCAGCAGGCGGCGCCCTTAATGATACAGAGCCGGCTGCTGAGAGAGGACAGGTCACCTCTGGTGAGTGTTTGGCAGAATCCCCCTTAGTTTGTGGGAATACCGCTGTAGCGATATGTGCCCGCTGGGACCCATGCTGCCCTCTGACTGGAGCAGCACCGGCCGGCGGCATGACACAGTGTGTATCTGCGTGCCAGTGTGTATCTGTGTCAGATACACACACACACATACACATTGACACACAGATACACACATTGGCACATACAAACACAGATACACACACCTTGACACACACCAACACATACAAAAAATGGCATTTGGGGGTTCCACGATGTTGATACCTTATGTCAAAGGGTTCCATGGGAAAAATTAATTGGGAACCCTTGGTGTAGAAGGTTGAGCCAGAACAATGGGTATATTTTGGGCCTGTTAATTCAGCCCTTCCACTATACCAGCACTATAGCAGCAGAAATGTACCTAATCAGATGCCCTCCTCAGCTGCCACCCCTCCCCCCTTCACCTCCTCCAATGGAAACTCACAATGTAATTTGGTTATTATCATAGGAGGATCATAAAAAGTCACTAATCACTGATAAAAAATTTTTTAATTTGTTTTCTTAAATACTTTCATCAGCTCATTGGCTTTTCTTTCTTGTAGAGTTTAAGCTTTTAATAGAATTAGTGATGCAACAGTTTTTAGCTTGTTTCATAGAATGATAATATTGATGCATATGGATATGCATCTTTTGTGATTTTTTTTTTTAATCTTTTTTTTTATATTGGCGCAACCTGTTTGTACTATATGGAAAGCAATGGCTTTCTTATTATTAATACAAATAATTTTTGTAGTCAGAGTAATGTGATGTTTTTAGTTAGTATTATACACAAAGTTCTTCATTATTACACCAATTTCAATTGCCTTGTCAATTTCAAGATCATCCATCTATAGAGAATCCCTATAAGAACCATTACAGTGAAAGTATTACTGTAGATATTCTTAATTGTAAGATATCTAGTAGTGTATGGGTATATTTCCCTCAGATCCCAAAAAGTTAACATATTGCCAACTCTTGTATTTATTAGAAACGTGAAATGTGTGAAGCACAGTTACATCTATGCTTATTTTCTTTAAAGGAACGTTCAAAGCACTGTAACCACTTTAGTGAACTGTAGTTGTTTTAGTGCCATGAGTACCATGACATGCCCCAAGTAAGTAGTCAAACTGTTTGTTAATAGTGTGCTTACTCCACGCACCATGACCACTTCAGTGATTTGAAGGGTTTATGGTGCTTGGAATCTGTATGTGCAGAATATCAGTTTGAAATGCTATAATGGCGGAGTCATTAGCCAACCTGGAACAAGAGCTCCTGAATGGCTAATGTTATTCTGTACATTATTCTGCACACAGAAGCTCATTCATTATCTGAGAGTGCTCAACTGGGCGGCGGGATCAGCATCCAGCTTCTGAAGCTCTGGATGCGGTTCAACCTCCATCACTAGGTAAGAGGGAAAACAGTTGTAAAATGGTTTGCCCCATCACGGAGTACAATGAGCTGTAGTGGTGATGATGATTGGAGTAACCATTTCTACCCTGACAACCATAAGTAATACTCACACAACAGATAACGTGTTGAACATAAGTGTGTTTTACAATAATCACGTATCTGGCTAAGATTAGTTCTGCAGTTTAATCCCATTTTATAGATGGCTGGAGATGCTGAAAGGCTAAGCAACTACCCAGAATTGACATGATTATTATTTTTTTTAGCAAAAATGGATCCTTAAAAGCTTTTGTTTTTACTCACCTAACCTTTCATCCATCTCACACTTGCACATATGACTGCTTTCTCCTCTCCCCTGTCTGCTTTTAACCACAGCTCAAATACATATACCAGGGGTATATCAATTTCAAGCTATTGCTCCCTAACAAGCCCATATGTATAGCTTCAACTTTACACCCCTTTTCTATAGACTTTCAAGAATGAAAAAGGTCAGTCTCCTGACCAACTATACTCTGTTCTGTAAAAATGGATATCCTCCTTCGTTTATTGTATTTATTGCAACATTTGCCAAGAAAACTTAGTTCTCAGATCTCATGGCGGTCTCACCCACCTTAATCCATGTATGCCCTGACATCTCTAGATGGGCTAGCCTTAGAGAATTTATATCTTAAATATTACATAGCTGCCAAACTACACTGGATGGAAATTACATAATGCTTCCTAATGCCTTACCATTTTTTTATCTAGCTTTCATGACTATGGCTTTAACCAGTGGTGTATCCTGGTTTTGTGCTGCCCTAGGCAGGAAAAAACTCAGGCGCCCCCCAAACCCCCCACGCGCGCGACCCCCACCCATCCCTTCCCTAGCAGACACACACTAGCAGACACACACACTCACAGGCAAACATACACACACAGTCAGACACACAAACACACTCACTCGCTAGCAGACACACTCACTCACTAGCAGACACACACTAGCAGACACAAAGACTCACTGATGCACACACTCACAGGCAAACACACTAACAGTCAGACACACACACACTAACAGTCAGACACACAAACACACACACTCACTAACAGACACACTCACACACTAACAGACACACTCACACACACACACACCCCCTACTCAACACACTAGCAGACACACTCACACACACACTAACAGACACATTAACAGACACACTCACACAGAAACACACTAACAGACACATACACAGACACACATACACTAACATACACATTAACAGACACACACACACTCCAACAGACACACTAACACACACACTAACAGACACACTAGCAGACACACTAACAGACACACCTCTCACACACACACACACACACACTAACAGACACATTAACAGACACACTCACACACACACACACTAACAGACACATACTGAGACACAGACAGACTAACATGCACATTAACAGACACACACACACACTAACAGACACACACTAACACACACACTAACAGACACATCATCAGACACACACACTAACAGACACACTAGCAGACACACTAACAGACACACTCACACACACACACACGCTAACAGACACATTAACAGACACACCCACTAACAGACACACTAACAGACACACTAACACACACACTAACACACATACTAACAGACACACTCACACACACACACACACACACACACTAACACACTAGCAGACACACTAGCAGACACACTCACACACACACTAACAGACACATTAACAGACACACTCACACACAAACACACTAACAGACACATTAACAGACACACACACACACTAATATACACATTAACAGACACACAGACTAACATACACATTAACAGACACACACACACACTAACAGACACACTAACAGACACACTAACACACACACTAGCAGACACACACACTAACAGACACACTAGCAGACACACTAACAGACACACTCACACACACACACACACTAACAGACATATTAACAGACACACTCACACACAATAACAGACACATTAACAGACACACACAGACTAACATACACATTAACACACACACACACACACTAACAGACACACTAACACACACACGAACAGATACACACACTAACAGACACACTAAGAGACACACACACACACGCTAACAGACACATTAACAGACATACACACACTAACACACATACTAACAGACACACTCACACACATACACACACTAACAGACACACTAGCAGACACACTCACACACACACACACTAACAGACACATTAACAGACACACACACACTAACAGACACACTCACACACTCACATTAACACATTTATTTTTTTTAACCCCCCCCGACCCCCTCCAGCCTCCTTAACTTTGGGAATGCTGGGGGGGGGGGGTGTTCCCTTTCTCCCTGGGGGTCCAGTGGCTGCTGGGCGGGCGGCTGGCAAGGGAGCACTTCCTCTGAGCTGTCTGCTCAGATCCCTCACGCACCTCATCAACCCGACTCCCAGCCTCACTCTGTGGCGTGCGAGGGAGCTGAGCAGACAGCTCAGAGGAAGTGCTCCCTCGCCAGCCGCCCGCCTGCTCGGCATGTCTGTTAGCCGCAAGGCTAACTAGGCATTTGCCCTGGGCATTTGGGGGGCGTCTTTTTTTGCCGCCCCCTGGAAAATGCCGCCCAAGGCAAATGCCTTGTTTGTCTCGCGGCTAATACGTCCCTGGCTTTAACTAAACAGGCCCTTGCCTCAGTGTCAGT